TTTTTTTTTCAGAGTAAATATTTCAAACCATCAACGGTATTAGAGATTTTCGAAAGATTGCATAGAAAGGGATCCTATCGTCGTTGTGCTAGATTTTATGTCGACTGGTGTAAAGCATGTCGTGATGATGCAAAAAGACTGGTTAGTTTTTCCCCACACAAGAATTGCGGTGTAACACAGAAAATGTTTTCAGGAAATTCTTGATTTGGCTTTCCAAGAAAATGCCGAACCGGCGAGTACGCTTCAGTTAGCAAAAGAAGAATTGCTTTCAAACATGGGTACTTCATCTTCTTCGGATGTTTCAAATCCTGGGTGAGTGTCATCAATACTTTCCATTATTTTTTCTCGTGTCAGCTGTAATATGCACTTGAAGAAACTTTTTTCTATTGCTTCAGGCACTCTTCATTATCTGCTAGCGAAAATTCCGGAATAAGGCCACAGGCTGAGAAATCTGCGAAACGTGCACTCTTTGCCGGAAAATCGGTTAATACTCCTGAAAAGAATAAGTGTATTCCGGAGAGGGAATGTGCATCTTCAAGCTATGATTTTGTACTACCAGAATCTGGAACATCATCATATAGGTATTGTATCATCTTAGTTTTCTATCCATGTTCAATTTTATTAAAGGGCATCAAGTATAAGTGATTTTCCACCACCCAGCGATTTCGAAGTCCCTGTTCACCGAACATCCAGCGCGAGTGAATCCTTGCCTGACCCGGACCCTAACGCTGAAAATATGTAAGAATGTTTGTTTTCTATCTCTTCTCGAATTTCTGAGACGCTTGCTTGTATCTCTCATCTCATTCAATTTCAGAAACCCATCTGGAGTAACAGAACCTATAGTGCGAAGAAAATTAGCTGGAATTTTGGTAGTTTTCTGGTCATTTGTTCAACTTGAAGTGCATTTATACATTAAGGTTGCTTCCCTTGACTTTACTCTGGAGGACTACGACTTTAGCGATGATATTAATGCTTTGAAATCCTCCGAAACGCTCAAAAAGGAGGACAACGAGGCCAATATCAGGAACAACATGCCCGTAAGCCTTTGATCTAACAACCATTTTGTTTATTTGCTGTTAATTACTGTTACTTACTGTTCATAGAATGAGGATACTGAGCAGCCAAGCAGCTCTTTCCGTTCCCTACCACCACATTCTCTTGAGAAGAGACTAACTCCTAGCCCTACTAATAGCGACAAATAGTGAGGTTTCAACAACAGCTCTCAATCTATCACCCATGAATACTTCTTTCTATTCAGAAATGCTGGTCTATCGGAATTCAGGAATGGTGTTACAAATTACTCAAGTACAATCAAACAGTCTTTTCATACTGTAATATTGCTCGCTGTTCAACGATTGTAAATTCTGTGCCAGTTTCTTTGTGAATGATGATCTCAGAAGTCTACGAGACTACTTTATAGACATTGCGGACATATAATAATGTTTATTTTGGTTCATCTGTCTTTTTTGTTGTAAATATGCCAAAATTCCAAAGAAGTCAATTACTGAAGTTATTTCATAAGATTCGAATTTGAATTTCTTTTCTACTAGGCCTCGATCTACTTGCATTCCTCAGTTTACGTCTTATTTGACTCTAGGTGGGATGATTATGCCTCTTTTGGGAGCTAATTTTGTTTTGTGTGTATTTTGTTCCCCAGATTTTTCGTTGAATATTTTATTGATATAAATCTTGAAGAGATGGAAATGTTCTACTCGGCTAACCGATCTTTACGAGGAAGTTTGCATAGATGCATATAACATTTGTCTGCAGTTTTTCAGTCTTGTATCAAGAACACAGGTGTGTCCATGCAAGT